AGCCTTGGCCGGATGATATTTCCAGTCGTGCTCGTCTGCTTGTTGTGGACCTTTCCCTACTGTAGGACTCAGGATCTCATGCATAAGGACGTGGGGAGATTCAGTCAATGTATACGAACAACCTTAAAAATGAATGACCTTTTTCAAAATAATTTATTTTTAATATTAATAACAAAGGTATATTATTATATTAGTATTCCTAAAAAAATTGTTTTAAAATACTACCAAAACAAAGAAAATTTCAAGAGGGAATAGTGTTTCAGAACTACAATATTAAAATGCAAATATCAAATTAATTAACTAAAGTTTCAATATCTAAATCAAATTAATATTTCAAAATAAAAAATCAATTATTTTGAAATTAGCCCACCACAAAAGAATAACAATTTTATTTTCAGTTTTACAGTAGTTATTATATTACAGAACAAACACATTTCACTACTAGCATGCGAGCAAGGTTCAAAATGACGCTTCTTCGTGCACTAATTTGAGCTCCATTGGTCGAATTTGAATATAAATTTAAACGCGCCTAATAGGCAGTGCTCCATACAGTTATATTTCACTTTTTACGCACAACTTATAACGTCAGACATCCGTTTCGGTGAATTCAAGTGTTGCCGTTTTATTTATATAAATATAACAATAAATTATTAGTTAAGAGTGGTCAAAGGCGATGATGAGATTTATCGTGTAAGGAAGATGTATTAATTAATTACCGTAGTGGTAGTACTCATGGTGAGACCTGGACCCGGGACAAATTTACTTTTTCGTTTTGAGGTCCCTAGAGGCCAAAAAACCCATCCGTTCAAATTCATAAATATATATTTATATATCTGTTCGTTAGCGCGATTACTTGAGCAAATATTATCTGATTTTGATGAAATTTTGTACAAACGTGTAAACCAACGTTTATTCGAATGATTTCACGAACCAGCATGATCGGACTATGGGAACGGGGGTTTATGATGGTTTTATGGGGTAAAAATTGGGGTTTCCTGTTTTTTACCCTACAAACATCAAATTTAGCAACTTCTTTCCAAATCATTTTGTAGAGCTTAAAAAACAAATAATTTAGTTTATTGAAGCGTTATTATATGCCTAATGGTTGAAAATGCCCATGTTATTCTAAGGGGAAAAATATATACTGTTGTAATTTTCTTGTTTATGAGCATATTTTGAACAAATTTGAAAAATGCGTTCGTTTCATACTAAACTATTAACATTTTACAAAAAAAAAAACACCCTATTGCAGCAAACCTAAGTACTCGTTAAACTAATTCTATTCAAAAAGGAAAAGCTCCTTATGACCAAATACAACGTCTACAATGCCATTAAGGTTCGTTTAGCCACTCCTTCAAAACGCATGATGCCCGTAACTTACCCACCTACTGTGAAATCGTATGATGCTATTTGTAGGCTCAAAAGACAAATTGTCTAGTAATGAATGTATAGATATTAGCAGCTCACCGTTTTTTAAATAACCAATTTGATTATTAATTTCATAAATTTAATTCACCCATGTATTATACCTGATTAAAATTACCAAACACACAAGTAATTAACCGTATTCAAGTAAACTTGTTGATTGTACTAATTTCGATTGGAAGTACCGAATATTCTAGTTTTTTGTTTATATGGGATATGTTTTAAAATAAAAATTGTGAAAGACATTTGGAACTCCCTGATTATTAATTTTCACAAGGATATGTTTACGTGGCTTTAAGATTGCTAATATATTAAATTCCTAGTTTTAATGGGAACAGTACACGTTAAATTATCTTTTAAAAATCAACAATTACACATCCTTGATATGTTAAACGATTATTGATTTTAAAATATCAAGCCAATCCTGTATAACATTAATGTCGAGGTTGAAGTAAAAGGAAGAATGTGTTTATTCAAATTCAAAGGCATAGGTATCCTCTGTAGCAGTAGCCTTCAATGCAACAGTTAGGTGAAATCTTGACAGAACTGTAGCGGAATTGCCATTGAAAGTCCACAAGGCATATACGAAATTAAACTGGAAAAATAATAACACATAGATTTTCTTAATTTTAATTATAGGCAATATCTTGCACAATCTTTACTAACTATATAAATATGCATAAAAAAAACAGGAATAACATAATCCGATTAAGTGTCACAGCCCAAGTATTTTTAAACTGCATAGTTGAATAATCAGTTCAGTTTTAATCCGTGAAATATATTAAGTGCCCAAAAAATCACTTTTCCAAAAACATCTCCATTGGAAAGAACATAATGGTGGTAAAATAACGATTACGATAAAAAAAACCTTGTTAAGTCAACTTATTTAGTTCCATGAAAAATAGATACAATTTTTTTTATAAGATTTGTCGATGTACCGTAGGTAAACTGAACCAAACAGAAACGCCCTTGTACTTGATAAGTGACAAGTGTGGCAGTCTCGGTCGTGGCAGTGTTAGAGACGACTCAATTAGAGACATGAATGAACTCTAGGGTATGAATGAAATGAGACACTTACACACATCATCGTCCTCACTGAATGAAGAAAATGTGTATAATCCTTTGATGTAGTACGGTTTAAATTTTTTTAATTGACATGTATGGATTTCTGTGGGAAGTCTTGTTGTGATTATTTTGGTTTATATTTAAAACTATTTTATCTCCTCACTACCTTGAGCTGTAAATTACAAAAGCTTTTCATTCCTTAGTTATTTTACTGCCATGAGTTTTGTCACTAAATGTAAAATAAATACAAATTAATGGATCATATTTTGCTGAATTTCACAGGAAAAGCTGTAATGTAGTATTTATTGCGTATCGTTATAGCCATAACAGTTTTTGGAATACCAATTTAGAAAATTGGGTTTTCATCATACTAGAGCAAAAATAACAGTTTAATACAAGATTTGCGGGTGTAAAAGTAGTTCCTTCACTCCATTTGGAGTCAAATTCATCATACTGTCCGTAAAGCAGCAATTTTTAGGTGCTCTACTAAAAAAATCATCGTTTGCGTGCCACTTTAAATATGGGACGGTAAAAACATATGGTAAATTTTTCGGTTTGCTCACCCCAAAATGTTATCGGTGCATTATGAAAACACTACAAATCACGTGATATTTAAAGCTATGTTTGTAAACAACAATGATGATAAAATTGATGACGACTTTGTATAACCTCAAATTATGTGGTCTAATTGTCTAACGGTTAGACGGTTATTTCCACAGTATGATGATAATAGTTGTTCATCACTCTGAGCAAAAGTGTCTTTTAAATTTCCAAGCTCGGCTGCGCCTCAGCAATAAATCCCGTTTGCGCTCCAAAAAGAGCCTCTTGCGCTCTATTGATGAACTATTAATTAATTAATTTTATTTTTATTTTTTCCTCCTAACGGTTACACCATTTTAATTTAGTCACTAGGAAGTAAAAAAGAAAACTGTTGTAAACTTAGATTGTAAGAAATAAAGTGCATACAGATTGTGGTGTATGCATTGACATCACGGTTGTAGCTTATTGTTGCACACCTGCCAATAAAAAAACACATAGTTCGACATGTCGATAGTTTTATATACACTGGTATAATCGTAATCAACCAAGTGACTAAATCGCTTACTATAGAGCTGCTTATTTGCATTAGCAAAATTGGAAACAAGTTTGAGGTAGTTTTGAGAACAATATGATTTGGACAGATCCTTTTTGAAAATTATAATCCATTAAACATTAAGAGGTTCGTTGACTATAATGAGAAATCATTTATATGGCAAACATCATAATTAATCAGTCTTATAGCTGTTATAATCCTTCAATATTTTAAGTGTATATTTTTTCTGTGTCATTGTCAACCTTATTTTTAAGGCAGACGTGTTTATGTTTATGAATAAATTATTTTCTCTTTCCAAGAAACCATTCCAGAACAATAACCACCTGTGGTATTCCTCCGCCTCCAGGACGCCTCCTACGACGGCGAGCTACTGGACATCGTGTCCGCCCTCTGGACATAAACCCTCCAGATGATGGCGATCTTCAGGAGTCTCAAGGTTGACGGCTGACCTTCACAATGAAGGCGCGAGAAACAGTCAAGGATGCAAAATAAACTGTTAAGATACAAATTTTTATGTAGTCCACGTTTTAAAGTGTGGTTGGTTGCTTTTCATTTGTTGGCTTAATACATTTCTAGAAATGTAAAAAGATTATGACATTTTTTTTAATTCTTCCTTAGACTAATACTGAACTGAATTACTAATGTATTTTATGATTGCCAGTTAAAAAAACCTTCCTCTTCATATTATACTTTGGTTGATTTTGAAGCATTCATTGTGATATAAAAGTGCTAACAAAATACAAGTTATAATATATTTCTGTTTCTTTGAAAGTATATAAAAAACATTAAAAAAACGCCTAATTTACAATCTTTACTTGCAGCAGCGGACTGAGTTCTTGGTCTTCTGCTGAGAGGCAAGTCAAATCGGTATTTACACTATGTACAAAACCATACGTTTCACCCATTCTCTGGCGTGGCATCCTCAGTGGCAAGGCTTAACATTAATCGATTTGACGAGGCTCTCGTCAGAAGACTTGGAATTATTATCAATAATTCATAATAATAAAAACTCAATATTATTGTTGTTCCAATTTGCTTTATGACTGCTCGTAACCCACAGTTGATATGGTTAGTAAGTCACCTTATACAAAATTACCCCACAATTAAGTCATGTTTACTTTTTCACCAACATTTTGCCGTTTATCTTCTGAGTTGTGGTTCACGTGTTTAAGGTATAAAAGTGTAACAATAGACCGTGAGTTGTTTTAGATAGCTATTAGATTGCGGTTCTGGTCTAAGTTCTTCTTACCCCTTTGCAATGTAGATCTCAGGTACATTGTACATTGTACGATAACACTTTCCATTGTTCATAATATTTTATAGATATGCAAAATAGATTGACTATTCATACCCTATATTTATTTAGATAATCAAAAACACGTCATTGGTACTTTTTTACAGAATAATACAAACAGACTAGATTGAAATACATTTATTAACAATATAGTATACAGAGACAAGTTTGGTAACTTTGAGGATCATATCACTTTCGGGTTTGGAGAAGAATCACTGAGCTTATCACAATGTTCATGAAATACCTGAGTCATATGTTTCAATATGTACAAATATTTTAGACCCTCTATCTAATTTACTTCCTCTGATCATCCTTAGAAGGTGGGAGGGAACGTAGGTAGTCCAGCGCTCTCTGGATAGCTTCGGGGACCGGTGGAGGGGTGGGCAGAATAGCTCCCTGGGGCTGGAAAATGTATACGCAAATATTAGAAATTTAGTATCTATAAATAACAAGTAATTGCAATAATTGTTAACTTTTCATACTGTCACTGTTGTTTCGTGTTGTTATTACCTCAGTGGTTAACTTATCAAATTTTGTTGCGTGAGGGAGGAGTTCAATACCGGCTTATCCTTAAGAACTTGATAGGTTTGGACTGCTTTCTCCTAAAAAGACTTTGTGATGTCTCTATTTATATTGATACAGGTATAAGCAATACAAAAAAATAAATATAAACAGAATCTTATAACTGGTTCATAAAAAAAATGCCAAGTCAAACTATAACAGCACTACGAGGAAACAAAAGAATGAAATCCAGTGCCGACAGTAACTAACATTTTACAACATATATAATTATACATTTAAACTAATTTTCACAGCTCCAAAACTGTAGGTCGTTCAGTTAAAATCTTGTCATTTTTGTAAACTTTAAGTCTGTTCACTAGATAAGTGAGGACTGTATTATGAAAAATGTTTAAAAAATACCGCCAAACTTTCTATTAAACTTTATAGATGAAATGGAAGGTTTTCACTACGAATGCAAGTTCCGATTGTGTTTTATTATACTTTAATTGTATTTCATGGTTTAGATTTTCAGTTATATCTATTTTAACACGTTACTACCTAGAAATGGCATATAACTATTATTCATGGCATGTTTTAATAATTTTGGTTTTAAACAACATTTCTTTAATTCTAGGTATGTGCAAAAGACCTTGGAGGATGAGTGATATATTTCTATTCTTTGATCAGCAACCATTTAAATTAGTATTTCTTCTATGACTTTGAACACAGATAAAATATCTCTAAACATAGACCCAAGCCAATTAAAACTTTTTTCTCTTTGCTTAAAAAATTTATGTGTTCAAACCAAAATGTTTTTTTAAGCACTTAATTTTCTTTTCACGAACTTTAGGTTCGTTAGATACTGTAGAAGTTGATCATCAATCAATTTTCAGTGGTGCCAATATTTAGTTCGTTGTATAGCTTATATCAAGGATGGGTAAGCTTCTAGCAGTTACCTGGAAGCCATTTTCGTCAGCGATGTAGGTGATGACTACAGGTACTCCATCGTCCCCGGTGTAAGAGTAAGACCCTGTGATCACCAGAGCTTCAGTGTCTGTCCCGGCGTTCTTCAGCTGACCTTGGGCTGATGAAGCGATGCCGTTCTCTGTCTCAAAACTGTAAAATAAAATAATCTTTCATTAATAAATATAATAGGGTTGAGATGGTTAGAAATATGATTTTACAAAGTCATTGCTAAACTAATGTACACTAATTAAGTAATATGAATAATTAGGAAACGACACAGAGGTCCAAGGCTATTATAATAGATTCTATAGTTGGCCTGGAATAGTTATACTAGGACCTTACACTAAATGGTTTGTAATAGCGGCATTGATAAAAAAATCGGTTTCTTAGGTGTTTACACGTTTCTCTGATTTTTTTTAAAATTAGGGCGGGTTTAAACACAACTGGTATATTTTCACTACATAACATACAATATCTACAACCTTTTTAGAGCAAATATCATACTATAGAACTCGTTAAGGGTGATAGAATTTCCTGAAATCTTTCTGTTGGATTGTCCTTAAACGAATAAATTTTTGATCTTACAGTCAAAATATTTTTTATAATTTTCATGAATCCCTAAATATATAAGTATACTTAAGAATATCATGAATACCATTATATAATTAGACGATATCAATACTTGGCTTCTTAAGTTAGACCTGTTTCTCCGTTGGCCTACTAACATCAACGTAGAAATGTTTTGGAATTACCAAAAGTATTCCATATTGTGCTTGCACACCAATAAACCAAAAAGGATTACCCCCGAAGGAATAAGCACATGTTTACCCAAAAAGGATAAGCACATGTTGACCCGAAATATCCCTGCAACTAGCATGCTTCGTACCGTCCAAAAAAGACAATCGCAACTCCAAATGCAAATTCAAACCTCGTTTCGAACAATTCGGTAAACGTTTCCCAACAAAATTCCATAAATAGAGAGATGATCCCTGATCCAACATGTGCGACTGGTTCAGCGCTTTTCTCATGACGTAGGGTCAAGAGGTCGGGTCGAGGCTCTGGGCAGGGAATCAGCTGATCAACGGTTGATGCGTGAAAAATCAGCTGTGACTATAGTCCTGCCTCGGGATGTCTTACTGGTATCTCCATAGATGATTTTGTAATATTTTTTAAATCAGGATTGTGTAGTGTTTGATGAAGCTGTCTTGGTTCTCGATTGAAACGTTTGTTTATACTTCATGCTTTTTAAATACATTAGAAACCAATTTAAACTTTAAAATTTTGTTTACTAAATGTATTATGTCTAAATTGTATTTTATTTTACTGATGGGAATATTTTAAATAAGTTAACCTTTTTGAAACTCCCTCATCTCGTACCTTTTATGGTTATTTTCCCGTACCTCAGTAAACATCTTACCAAGCTCAAAATTAAAATTACGAGTATCTATTTGATTCTTAAGTATTAGTTTGGCTATTTTTCTTGTCACTAACGTGTCCACATGAATCAAAGGAAATGATTCTGATTAAAAAATATAATTTAATATTTAGTGTAACTACTTTGAATCAAAATGTTGTTGTTGATATTTACACATCAGCACTTATACATCCTCATCCACAATGTTTCGAGTACTCCTTTTAAAATTAAATTACAGATATAATACATGTATTAAATACAAATATATAGTCGTTTTATCATTTCATTAGCTATTATAGCAAGTGAATTTAAATTGAAACATATTGAATTTACAGGCCACACTCACATAAACACTTTGACTGGTGAGTTCAAAGAATTTGTTTCAGTTCCAGATTCCAAGAGTATTAGTCCTACGGCCATATTTTATTAAGGAAGACATTGTAAAGAAAGGGTAAATAAAGGCCAAATGAAAACGTTTTTTTAAGTTGCAGTAGAAGGTAACCAGAATTATTATATACTCTAATAAGCCGCGTAACTGTAGGGTAATACAATCTAAGAATACGCCTTTAAATTGCACTATAAGAAACACATAATTATGTCATCAAACTATTGTAAAATAAACAGAGCTAATTAAATGATTCTTACTCGTAGTTGAAGGATCCATCGTAGTTGACTTCCTGAGCTTGTTTCAAAATGAGAACTTCCTTGGGGGCGGCGCCTGGTGGTGCAGGGGCAGACGCCCGGGGGCGGTTGTATTGAGGGGCGGCGGCAGTGCACGCCAACAGTGCTGTTAGTACTACCTGAAACATTAAATTAAACTCTTAAGTAAAATAAAGCTAGAAGATATTACAGCTTGCAATATATACTTAGATTTTAATATGCAGGGTTTAAGCCTACATGAACTCCCTGGATATATTTTGTGTACCTTAGGTCAAAACATAAAAAAAAAACATTCTCGTATCAACATTGGTTTAAAATGTATATTTTTGTGTCGTGTTTGTGATTTTTACAAAAGTATACAAAATAAAAACATTTGAACTCATTGAGATATTGACTTAAAACTTTGAACAAATAGCGAAAGATAGGGGCAATTATTGTAAAAAATATCAGCTTTCTAATTTATACCAGTTCAGGGGTTATTAAGGAATTAAGTTATTGATGAACTTGTGAATATTTTCCACCATAAAATATCGCTTGCAGTTGATTTTCATTGATTCGTCATATTCTGCATACGCGTCATTTGTGTCCTCCTACCTTCCGTTTATTTGTCCCGACCATTGTTTTCTATTATGATTATTTTTACTCATAGTTTATTGTTATAAAATACTCGTACTCGGTTTACGTTTATTTCCGCGATTTCGCTGCTTAGTCTGGAACGTGAAAATCTTGTTAGGCTTAGATTCTTTCTCAACTGGAGACCAAATCACATGCAGACCCATAAATTTCAGAAATTATTGTTTTTACTATTCGCTATAACATCTCCATAATATTTATTTTAAAATAAAAAATCTTGATAACTAAAAATGAAATGAAATACAAAAAGGTGAATGGCTTGGATACAATAAAGCGCAAACATTTTAGATTTTAATCAGCACATAATAATAATGAATTACCTAAAATGATTCTTACAATAATTGAGTTTGAGTTAATCCACGCATCTTCTTGATGAAAAGCAAAACATAACAAACAACTTAAGGCAGTAAAATATTGTTGAGCAATACTTTGTGGTTTACCCATGGTTTTTAGAATTTCACAAAGCAGACAATTGTAATACGCCCTTATTTTGAGCTCTGTCAGTTGGTTGGGGAAATAATGCAGGAATATCAGATTCTTTTTAAAATAATTTCCTTTGTTGAAATGGATTTCCTTTGTAAAACCAATTTTAAATGTGTAAGTACGTAAAGGTTTTTGAATAAAAGTAAATTTTCTAATAACCTACCTTAAAAGGTTTAATATATAAAAGGAGTGATATGGGAAAATATTTTAAGTGAATGAGTTTAATTGGAGAATAGGAACTTAGCAACGGCTGACTTCCAACTATAATCTGCTGTATTCCGTCACCAACATCAAGCTGTTGTTAAATATATGTTTGGAATATACTTAAAAGCTACTTTTTATTGCCTCAACCAAACACGTAGATTTCATATTCAAATATCTCAATAGGACTTATATTTAAAAAATAAAACTGTATTCTTTTAGTCTATTTTATAAGGTACAGTAGTTGGTTTACTTAGTATAAACCTACTTATTTCCATTAAATTGACAACAAAAAGTGTATGCATTATTAAAACAAGTAATGTTATTCTATTTAATTATTTTTGAACTACAGACATTTAACAAAGTCCAGAGAATGTGATGTTAAGCAGAATCTGTCGTCATAGCAAGAGTGATAGTCAATATTAACTGACACTTCAGTCTTCTCTGAGCAAATTTGTCAGATGCAAATCAGTCTAGCCGAGGTCTCGAGAGAAGTTTCAACTTCTCAAGTTACGTCCCAGGAAGAATGTCAAACATGATATGATATTTTTACATCTCTTAAGGTGGTGTAGTGACCTATTATATTTATATTGTAAAAACTAAATACCGTTTTCAGGAAATAACTGTTCTTTGGTAAGGAGTATTTTTATTTGTTTTTGTAATAATATTATGCTTCAGATTATTGTTTAAGATTAATAGTATTTGTACAATTTGGTTAGTAAGTGTTGATAATTATAGTTGGTAAGTACAATGGCCATTGCATTAAAAACCTCTTTAATAATTAAGGGACCGAAAATATTTAACTTCAGCAATAACAGTTTTTTATTCTTCTATTTTGACTGCACAAGCTAGAAATAAATTCATAAATAATAATTGTCTTTCCATTAGTACACTTATTGTTTAAAATGCACCGGTTATTTGTAGATTTAAATCAACGCATATTTACATTAGGCCTCTTAGCAATTAATGATTTAGCAGTGAAATCCTACAAGCTTAACAAAGAGCTGCGCAGCTTTTAAATGGTGTTCATTGATGCTTTATCTAATAGTTGAGTTATACGCCTTAATAAACCCATGGAATCCTTAACGAGATAATAATTGATATTGAAATTGAAAATAATAATCTTGGAGGATCATATAACTAAACAATTCTTTTAGTACAGTAAACGTATAACATGTTCCTTTAATAGTTTTGACCGTTAAATTTGAGTTCAGTGAATAAACAACTATATAACACTATAAGACAATAAAATGGTATTGACGTTTATATGTTGATGAAGTTATAATTTTTCATTTTCTTATTGTTTTAATGTTATTTATTGTGGATACTCAGGAAGGAAACACAACAATAGTTTGTTAATTGTGTTTTTCCGATAAGACTATTTGTAATAAAAATAAAGGCAATGTTTATTTGCAAAATATTAAAAATAACATTTTCAGTTCTTTTTACTAAACACACTTTTTAAAATATATTTGAAATTATAATTCAATGTGGTTTCTAAAGACCGTAAATAGATTAAGACTAACTCAAATGAGCTGTTTAATAATAACATCGATAATGATTTTTAAAGTGAAAATTTAAGCTATAGTTGTTATTCCTTTATAAAACACTTGTAAATTCAACAGTTAAATACTAGACAAATTTACACTAAAAGACATTAATTTTGAGGAAAACAATTCTGTTGAAATTGAGCAACCAAGCCGTTCATGTACAATGTAATTTCTCTGTATTGTTCAAGCATAAGTTATTAAACTTCTCCTTTCAAAATACATTTTTATGTAGTAACGAACTGATCATTTAGAAACTATAATTTTTCAAGACATGTTGAAGAACTGATGTTAATATTGACCTTTGTACATGTAAATTTGATATATTTCATGATTTAATTGAATTTCTCCTTTTTAGCCTCACTAATATTTTGCAATGACTGCCTCATATGATGGATTGAACCATTGTAATGGTTTACTCAGTGTTGTCATTTGTCAATGTCCATTGATTGATAAGCGGATGACGTGATCACGAAAGATTCATTCACCATACTTGTGTAAGGTCCATGAATGAACATCACAAATTGATTCTGTTAGAGCTGCATGTTCAGATTTTAATGTGTAGCTTCATATTCAACGAAGGAAAAAAAAAATTATTAAGTATATACGAGAAATACACAAGAGTTATTATTTACATGGAATTTACAACGGTAAGTTTGTTCAAATTTAAAATTCTTAGGCATTATACATGCATTGTTGCATTTATGCATTTTTGTCAAATGAAATTACCTTTTGTCATAATCAAAAATGTAAGATTTAGATGAAATTCTGGCTCGCATTTCTGTTTTCATAATAATATTGTCCATAGTGCATGTGTTGTTCTATTGTCTTATTAAATAAATAACTGCAATAGTAAACATGATTATATTATATTATTGTAAGAATAGTTCATAGGTATGTATGTTTACTAATAATTAGAAAAACAAGATTTTAATAGTGATTATTTATTAATGAATACTAGTTTTGGGGAACATTTTTAAAACTATCTCAAAACACAGGAGTCTTTCAGAATACTTTAATTAATTGGTTAAAAATGTGTAGTGTAGTGTGTATGAGGTACAGAATTTAAACTGCGTTGTAAACAATTACATTGTTGTATGTTTCTTTTCAAATTATTCCACGAGTTTTCCGATGTTTTCTAACGTACAGCCTTCCATTTAAGTCCGTAAGGGTTATTTTGAGTACTGCTCCACATTTGATTTACACTTATAACAATTGTTTATAACAGTAAATGTTTTATATGTTTGGTTTCTAATAATGAACAGTGTTGTACGAATCAATATCGATATCAGATTCATTACTTTAGTGGTATAATTAAATAGGAAAACCTAACGTATGTAAGTAAAATATTACTATAACAAACAAAATAATTGCCAAGTCTTTTATTTAATCAAAACTAATAAAATTAACATACAGCGAAACTGTTAATATTTCTCTAAGTATTTACTGTTTGTATAGAGAAATATAATTGGAAATGTAATTTGTAATTCAAATTATTCCTAAACTGCATAGTTATGAAATTCAAAATAAAAGTTCTAAACGACAACTCACCAAGTTGTTCATGGTATCCCACAAGACAATCCAAATGCGAGTGATTAGAACCGTCAAATGACTGCATTTATAAGACACACGGGTCCCCCTCCCCTACGGGCCTATATTTTCAAAGTTAGGGTACTCAGCCCCCTCCCAAACAGTGAAAGGTCGCCCCCCGAGTCCCACAATAATATTTCGACAGAATTCTAATCTTGATTTATCACATGGCTCGCCTAGCTCTTCTGGTAAATCCCTCCAAATCTGAGAGGATGTGTATAATTAAATTATAAATTAGCTAATGGCTATTAACGTCTGCTGGTATTGGGAGAAGCCAGCCCAAGGCCCGTGTAATGTGAAGTTATTTGAGTTATTGGTTGATTACACCGATGTGCATTTTATGGAAAAGCGCTGAGTTATGCCTATTGAATAGCGGGTCGTAATTTATGTTTTATTTGAAAAACTTTATTGTATTAAAGAATTCGTTCTCAAACTTAGTTTCGAGTACTAGGCTAAATGAAATATGTGACTATTTTCAATGATATTTTTGTAGGATTTAAAATATTTACATGTAAGCATGTTTTGTTATTCCAACTACTAGCTCACAACTCCCTATGCAGATGTTATTTTAAAAGCCGAAGGATGATTTTAAAATATATTTTAAAACCTAAATGCTCTTTATTTATACCGTTATTAATACATAACTATTCATATTCATTGTAATACATTTTTTACTATTTGAAATAGTTACATGTTATTCAACATAGAAATTAGTTCAAAGATTTTTCCATAATCAGTTATTTAAAACCGTCTTCTTCTCCTGTAACTGTCAACTCATGAACAATTTACAATCTCATATCAGTAATATGCGTCTCTGTAAAAACGTTGACTTTATGCACAGTATATACCCTTTATAAACTACCAAAGTTATGCTTCACAGCAACTGTAGTCTTTTATCTAACACTGTTAATAGATAATTCTTTAAATTATTTCTTGTAAATTCAACATTCAAAACCTTAAAAACAAAATGATTAAATACAATTATTTTAAACCTTTTCCTGGCATTGTTCCACAGTTTAAGTTTGCGCTCAATTAGTAAAAAAAAATATATATATTTCACAATACTTTGCAAATAAATTTGCATAAACAATGTATAGCCTTGTAGTCAAAACTCAAAAAAGGAGCTTTTAGCGATAAGAACACGAATGCTTATTCATGTTTTGGGACGCATGGGAATTTATGGCCCATTAGGACACTTTGATAGATGTCAAGGAATGTTTCGCTACTGGTGGTCTAGTAAAAAGTTGAATCAGAGAATATGATTATTTTATAAATAAAGGGATCCTAAACCGTCGCAAAGCAGGTTTTCAACACCCAACAATTCATATCAAACTTATTTAGTTGACTTGACTATTAAAAATTGCATATTTTTATGCGTAGATGTCAGGCGTTAGAGTTATATTACCCGTTGCTATTGTATTTGTTGATACATTAATTACCTTCTTATGGAATTTATATTCTTATGTTGTCGTAGTATTCATTCCTATAAATTCATAACAATGAAAATTCAACTATTGCCTATATTAAAGTTAAGATTTTTAAGAGATTTGTTTACTTGATCAACCCTTAACGGGTGGACAACATTTGTTGCTTAGGGACAAAATTATCGTTTTAACTAGGATATTAGGCTATTAGCATTGACTATGCTATTAGTATTACAAATATCAAAGTATTTATGGTAAAAAAACATAGCGTGTCCCCGAAATTATTAAACGAACTAATAATGAATTCCAAATTAATCATTTGTATTATTCTTTTCAATAATTAATTATAGTTTTTTTTATATTTTTTTACTTCACATCCTTGAACATTATGCACTAATACAAGACCATTTTTACACATAATTTCAGCCTCGTCCCCCAAAAGATTTGGATAAAAATCATTCAACGATTAGCATAATTTGAACCATGGGCTAGGAGAAAAAGGTCAAGAAAAAGACAAAGAAAGAAAAAAGGAAAAGAAAGAATAAAGCTATGCCAGTGTCTTTTTCGTTTACTTCTCACTTCCTCTTCCAAACTACCAAACTTATCATTATAAAGATTCAAATATTTTTTTTTATGAATAATCGATCACTATAATTTAGTAGGATTTTGCCAATAGAGTTTTGAGGCCCAAAAGTCCCTCCCTAAAGCTATTTCCCAAATTCTTTTGCCGGATTTAAAAATCAATATTTTACAAAATGCTCTAAGAACAAAAAGACAATGTATATAAGACAACATTGAATATATGTACTGATAAGATATCCATTACCCACAATATTGACCAGTACCATCAATCGGTTACTTTTAAACAAACATTAATAAACAATTTAGAAAGTTTGCCATTATTAAGAAGGCAAGTTATTTTCTCAAATGTTTAAATCCATTTCCAAATTCGGGCATGACAGGCCCTCATCATGTAGTTTAACCGCTTAATAATTCAAATTAAATGCAAACATCAATTGGTTGTTGATACTACAAAATGTTAAATATAATTGGCCCCCCGTGGGTATTCCCATGTAACATATGAATGTCAAACATCGGAATTAATAAGTGTCATCCACTGATGTTGTGGAATCATCAGGTTTAGCAACTCTGGATGAAGGAGATAAGTGGGTTGGAGGGAACGGTAAAGTAAAGGCTAGTCGTGGCATACTTATGAAGGGAAGTATTAGAAACTAGTATGTCTTTATTGTGGAATCGATTGATTATAAAATCAAAGGTTTCGTGTAAAATCATATTGGACGAGTAAAATCAAGTTGGATGTGGATAAACTCATGGTCCAAAGGGTTTGGCTTAACGAAAATCTCGTTTACATAAAAAGGTTTATTCGTAAAATCACAGCTATGATTAATTTTAAAAAATACGCCTTGTGTGTGCTTTGATAATTTTTTTTTTTAATGAAGAAATTCTTAATAATATGAAACAACTAACAAATGAAGAAGCCCTATAAACTTTGCCACGGAACAGTGTAATTTGTAGTGATACTGCCCTATCAATAAATCAAGAAATCGTATTAATTCAAGGTTCTTCCTCTTTAATGCTGTGTAAGGTAATATGGTAATATCTAGATAAAATTACATAATATTTATTAACAAAACATTTTGATATTTTTTTCGTAAAACGGATGAATGGAAGTAGCTATCTTTTAATTCAATTAAAAAGAAATATTTATAAGCTTAACCTTTTTATAAAATCATACACCTAATCAATCTAGATTGAACAAAATAAAGAACATTATAACAATTTTTATGGTGTAAAATATATGGCATGAAAGATATAATGGCTATATTGATTTTAAACAAGTCTAATCTCTCGAACAAAATAAGAAATATCAAAAAGTCCCCAAGAAAGGTTTTAAAAACCTTTTTAATAACCTGGCCATATTTAAATCCTGGAAATAATGATGGTTGTAGAAATAATATGATAGGTTTCAAATTTATTACAAATGAATGGTGTTAGAGCTTTTAAACTAATTATCCCAAATTTGAACATAGTTTCCCCAAAAACTGAGCTGAACTACTTCTTTCCAGTAAAATCTGGGTCACTTTTTATAGGCTGTAGAAAAACCAGTTAAAGTAACCAAAGAAGAAGACCTCAGTGGAAGGTCGCAGAAACAATAACCAGTTCCAGTTTATCACGCTTTTAAACTTTGAAATCTTTATGGTATCCATTAAACCTACAGGATCATTTACCAAAAATTGTAATCAAAAATATCTACAGAAAAATGGGCTAGCCTATATCAGTTATTAAAAATTTAAAATAATTACATAAATTTTGTTTTTGTCATTACAAGGCTAAATCAAGCTCTCTGTTTCAATATTTTGCTACTTCATCTGAATTTTAGAGACAATCTCTCCTGAAGGACTATTAAAGGATAGCTAATTACTTTATGACTCATAGTTTGATTATCATCCATACATAAACACACCTATACTGGACCTGTTCCTACTACTAATTTCAAATTAATGTTAAGTGTTTAACAAAAAGATTAGTTTCATCCGCTTAAAAATGAACTCCTATTCTAAATCTTTAAGTGTATATGGCTTATTCTTATGAACTGTTAAAAAATACTACTCTGTCTTCTACCTTATACTTTACTTTACTTTACTTTGATTGTTTTGGAAATGGCCTGGATACATGCATCACTTATTTATTTTTTAAACAATTTCCACCTCACTTAACAAAAAAGCTGAGGCCTACGTAAATTACCTGATTTATATTTTTTATGTTATTTTGTTAAAATTCACCATTTAACCGTAACTGGTCCAACAAACCTTTTTTATAATACACTATGATGCATTCCATCTGCTTAAAAAGTGAAAACCATTTGAAAAGTTGGTTTAAAAACAAATTAAAGGGAAGGAGGAACAACCAATTTAAAATTTATAAAATAAAAATAATTTAGAACTATAAAATAATAGTTTAAATAGAAATAAAACATGTGTAATACGATTAGCGAAACAATAAATGAAGACATTAAACACAATAACAAACTATAATAAGAATTGTATAACATATGATCCAGTTTTATTAAGTTGATTTAAACTTTTATCCAAACGAGATGACATGGCATCACTGGAAATACATTGCAATGTTAATCTTCAGTGGATATTCCAAGGTCTAAGAAAGTGATCGTCTTCGTCTGGTTCCTGACCACACATCATCCTTCGTCCAGTCACTGGAGGTAATGTCAAGGTCAGATACTAACTATAGCTTATCTATAAAACTCAGTATCATTGTACACTGTCAAAATCAAACCCGATCTAAATCCATGTCTTTCAAGGTGTTCAGCTAAACCGTCTTAGTCATGCGTCAGACCCTTGAACTTTGTAATTTTACTGATAATTATTATATATGTGAAGATGGGTCTTCGTTAGTATTCCGGTAGTAGCGTAGCTAAATAATGTGGTTGGCTACGACCCAACAAACGCCCAAGAGACAAATTTGGTAAGGTACATAAAGTACAAAAACGTGTTGAGTGTTTTCGGTTTTATCATTTGTCCGGTGATTGAGCCATCGAATGGGAACGCT